TATTTAAAACAGGTAAAATCAAACAAAACAAAATCACGGACAAAGATGCCTATTTATGATTTTTTATTTAACGAACAGATCCCGGTTCAAATTACGCATGACACATACATTTTTTGTATTTGCTTTAATAAAAATAAAATGGGCAAAATTATAAATAATTAACAAAGTGCCATGTAAAATCCAAAAATTGTACAATAGGATCATTTGTTATTATTTTTATTTCTTTTTTGGAGCGATTGTCGCGTAAAAACAAAAATCACGTGCTCACAATTAACTATCAACTAAATGAAACCAAACAATTAATCTATTCAAGCAAATCCTAACGTATGAATATTTAACTAAAATTAATCTAGAGTAACAAATTAAGAGATCAAAGAAAACAAGTTGGCGAATTATAGAGACGAATTTAATGATAGAGAATATTCTAAAGTTATGGGTTAGCTAACAATCCCGTTGAGTTTTCCACTTAAATCGTCTAATTAATTTATCTGGTTTATTAGTTGACAAGGTTAATATTGCTCGTAGCCTTCTCTCGAAGTACAACTCGCCTATTCAAGTTAACCTAACGCCTATATTCCTATGGAATTAGGATTAACAAGAACGCATTAATATACCTGTATAGTAACCAAGCAAGGCGATTAGGTATATTCCTATCCTAACCGCAAATCCGCTCCCCCTCAGAGTTAAGATCTTGCTCTACTCAATCTTATATGCAATCTAGAATTCTCTCTCCCGTGTTCAATCCTAGATTCGTAGATAGTATTCAATTGGTGATCAAGCAATCAAAAAATTAAGCGCAAGATTGAATAAATAAACCAATATGATAAAATAATAAGAATGATTCAAGCTTCAAACCACAACGTTCATGTAGCACCCAAAACTCTAGAACTAATAAACTATGAGATTAAAGGAAGAGAAGCGAAAAAAACTAGTTAGAAGCCTCCTCCAAGCGTGGTGTGTGTTCCTCCACGTGAATTACCCTTCAAAATATGTTCCCTAGGTCTAAGATGTGTCAAAAGTCACCAAAATAACGTTTTTTCATGTATATATACCAAGTAGGGTCGGGCCTAGACGAAAACACCTTCTCCCGCGTGAAATAGGACAGTTACTCTGTAAAATTTGCACTACCGCGCCGCATCCTGCGGCATCCCATGCGGCGCGGTAATGGAGATTATCAATAGCCTTGCATTTTTCTTGTCACGCTAGTTTTTACACTGCTACGCCGCATCCTGCGGCATCCCATGCGGTGCGATAGTGAGTATTTGAGAGTATGCAAAACATGAAAGTTGTAGCCCTTTCAAATAGCTTTCCAACGATATATTGTGGAACCCAAACAGAGGTCGGAGCAAAAAGTTATGTGTATTTTACTAGACAATGCACCGTATGCCCGCTCGATTCTCCGTTTCGTTCTTAACTATCATTCGTTGATCTCGGACACGATCCCGGCTTAATTACTTGGGCTTTTACTCAGACTTCAAAGCTCTAAATCACTTGAATTCATTCCATAACTCCTACATAGATCGGAATCACTCCTACAAGGCATAAAACATATATTTAGTGGAAAATACTAACGATTAAAGTTCAAACTCAATTAAACTGCAGTAAATTAGAGTGTAATAAGCGACTAAAATATACAATTATAGCCTATCATCAATATTCATCCCAATTTATTTAGCATGCTTTCCTTTTTGGTCATTCCTAGAAAGAAACTATATATCTTTCTCTATTTTGAAATAATTTATCTTTAGAATTCTACTTGAATTAATTTACAATTATATAAATATTTATAGTTTTTTAAATCACAAATTATATAAATAGTCTTTATTTTTTAAAAAAAATTTTGTATCGTATCAAATACCGTCATATAAATTGAGATGGAGGGAGTAATTAATTTGAACTAAGAAGAGGATATATTATACCCTTTCCACTCCAGGATAGTCATATCACTCTTAATGTATTGCATCAAAGTCATAAATTTAATATTTTTTATTTTCTGTGATATATAAGCATAATACAATTAGTTTTTTATTACAAAATTAATATATAATTTTAATAAAGTAAACTAAAAGTTGAGTAACCATTCGCAAAATTAACTTATGAATCTTCGATTGCTCATGAATTAGATATATATTTTGCTACGTTCAGAATAAAAGAAAGAGATGAAATAAGTCAATCAAGTTTTGCCAAAAGTAAGTAGCAGTTTGACAAAAGCATGAAGTTCCCACTACTCATTTCACCACCATTCTGTTAAAAAAATAGAATTGGGAATTAAAGTTATAAATAGAAAAAATTAAGAGTAAGAACACGTTTCCATCGGATTGTAATTGTTGAGACAATTAAGTGATACTCTCCTAAAGGTACATTAGTCATTTACTTATACACTAAGCTAAATCAGTTAGTGTTAAATACTTTATATATACATATGTAAAGAGGTGATAAAAAAGAAGAAATGAAAATAACAGACATACGTTCTTTTCTTTCTCTCTTCTTATTTTTTCTTTCTGCTAGTCTCTTATATTCTATCTTCTGCTTCTAACTAGGCTTCATCCCATTCACCTTCTATCAAATTATCTCATGGTATCAGAGCCATCTCGCTAGATATTCTAGTCAAAGAATTGGCATTTAATGTTTGTTAAAATTGCATGTTGCTAATCTTGAAATTCTGAAATTCTTGTGCTTTTCTTGAATTGAAATGGGTTCCATCGGAGAACAATCTTCAGATGGTACAACTACAGGAGATCGTCAAAATCTGGGTATTGGAGTTTCAAACCCAGGAAATGCAGGAATTGCAGGAATCGATTACAACCATCCTCTGTTTCTTTCTCCAGCTGATGTTAGTGGCATACAAATAATTTCGTTCCAGTTGACAGGTATTGAAAATTACTCCATCAGGTTTAGACCTATGCGTGTAGCTTTATTGGGTAGAAACAAATTGGGGATAGTAGATGGTATATGCAAGAAAGAATCATTTCCTGAATTCATGTGGAATCACTGGGAAAGAGTTAATGCAATAGTTCTTTCTTGGATTATGAATTCTGTAACTAAAGGTCTGCTTGGGGGGATAATGTATGCGTCAGGTGCACAAGCAGTCTGGGAAGAACTAGCTGAAAGATTTAACAAGGTTGATGGGTCAAGAACCTTCAACCTGCATAAAGAAATTGCAACCTTGGCCCAAGGAACTTTATCTATATCAGTCTATTATTCACGACTGAAAGATTTGTGGGAAGAATTTGAGTCGTTGGTTCCTGCCCCAGGTTGTGATTGTGCAAAATCAAGGGAATTTATGATCTATTTGCAAAAATTGAAGTTATACCAATTTCTAATGGGACTAAACGATTCTTATGCACAAGCTAGAAGTCATATACTTATGCGAAGTCTTGTACCAAATGTGAATCAAGCATATGCTATAATAGTATGTGATGAAAGTCAAAAGGCTATAGCTTCTACATCAGGGGTGTTAGGAGCTAATCTTAGTGTGGTTACTGTCACACCTCCTTTTTTACCTACACCCCCGGAAGGGTCTAAATAAAGGGAGTTTTTCCAATTAAAGGACAATCGAAACGGGATTTATTATAAAGATTCAGAGTCGCCACTTGGGAGATTTATGGTGTCCCAAGTCACCGATTGAATCCCGAATCGAGGAAAAGATTGACTCTGTTTAACAGTCCGCGAACCAGAAATCCGAGTAAAGAATTTTGTTAACCCGCGAGAAGGTGTTAGGCATTCCCGAGTTTCGTGGTTCTAGCACGGTCGCTCAACTGTTATATTCGGCTTAATAATCTGATTTTAGAACATTTTGAACCTATGTGCCAATTTAACCTTTTAACCGCTTTTACTTATTTAAAGAATTAATTCAAAGTCATTTAAAACATATCGCAAGCCACACTACATGAAATGCACCGGTGGTTCACGACACGCTCTATTTAACCTTGTTGGAAATTAGAACTGGGTCACATGAAATGCACCCCCAGGTTTTAACATGTTCACTTCTACTATCATTATTCAAAATTATGGTAGGGTCACATGAAATGCACACCCGAGTTTAGGAAAGTAAAATTATTAAAAGAACGCGCTTAAAGCAACTAGCGCAATTAATTATTCCTCTGAAACTTTGAGATTATAGTAAGGCCATAGATCATAAATATAGTGCGTGAGAGAAAAATGTGACCTTCAACTTCCATGAATTTCCAGCAAACACGGTCATATTCACCCAAAAGAGAACTTAACGACTTATTAACGTTCTGCTAGAATTTAGCAAACCAAACTGACTCTTAGCTCGTATACAATCAAAACCAAACAAATATCCTTAAAAGCAAAAAAAAACACTAATTTTAGTTTTATGTCCAATAACCCAAATGGCTCAACTTCGAATTAATCCACACGGTGAACTTTTCATTTTACAAGACAACTTTCTACATGACTCGAACTCACAAACGACTCTGAAACTTCAGCTACCTTACGCTCGCTCCCTCACTCCGTTCATGTGCATGACTGTGTGTGTGCGTGTGTTCGCCGGCTTCAATGGTGGTCGTCGGTGACGTCGTGCCTCTGGTTTCCGACGAACAGCGGCTAGTTTAAGTTGTTTGGTCTCTGGTTTGTGTTGTCATTTGCCAGTGAGGCAGTAACGGAACGAGAGGGGTGGGGTGAGTGAGGTCGCCGGATTTCCGACGAAGCTTGGTGGCGTCGCTGATTCTTCTTCAGGCTCCTAGGGTTTTCTCCTATCGTTCTAGCGAAGAAGATTATGAAAGCTACGTGGGGGGGGTCGTTCGATGAAGAAGAAGAAGACGCGGGGAGGGTGCTTGTATCGTTCTCCTTTTATGGTTTTTTGAAGGAAAATTAAAATGAGGCCAGGGGTAGTCTCGTGAAGACGACGATCCAAAAGGGGGGTCGGGTCGTTTTTTGTCTGCGCAGCTTTTTGCTTTTCAGCCCTTCTTCGTTATCATCCCCTTCTTTTGTTATCCATGCGCAGCTGCCTTCTTTTGTTCCCAGCCTCTTTCTCGTTTCAGTTTTCGTTATTTTTTCTTTTTTCTTTTTATTTATATAGTCTAGGTTTAGGTAGGGTTTTAGGTTAAGGGGTATGGGCCTAGGAATTATGGGCTTGGCAATTATGGGCTAGGTCTAAAATTAGGCCTAAAGATAGGTTGCTCGAGCCCAAGCTCTATTCTTTCGCTGCGAACGAGATTAAAAATACGGGCTCATTTGTTAATTATTCCTACTATTCAAATAATTATTAAAATAAAACTAACCATAAAAACAAATCTATTTTTGGTATTTTCAAATATCATATTAAAATAAAAATACGATACTATTGTTGTATATATTTTTTTTAAAGATTTTTTTGTTTAGATTAAAAATGACTACAAAATATTAATGAACCTATTTTTGTGATTTTTTGTTTTCTTGTAATAAAATAAAGTAAAATAGTCAAAATTACTCAAAATATCTATATTATGCCTAAATTAAATATTTTACGCTAATATATAAAAAATCTTGGGGAGGGTCAAAAATCACATGTCTACAGCTGCCCCTCTTTGACTGGAAACGTATAGAGTATTCAGACAAATACTGACTAGACAGGTTTTTGACCCGACCCTTATTTGGAGAGACTAAAGCTAAGAGAGAAGGGAGTGTGACCGAGCCCTGGTATCTGGGCTGCCTACATATCCTTGACTTTAAAGGAATCAGGCCACGTGTAGTTTAGAAATGAGTGAGATGACAGAGTATGCCGAGGTGGAGATCCGATCGAGGTGCCGTTCCGCTGAGGTTCCGATCCGCAGTCCTATTGTTAAATCAAAAATCAAAACATGAAAAAGACTAGCTAAGCCTTGTCACACCTCCTTTTTCCGCACCCGATGGGGTGCAAGGGAGTTTTTTCCAATTAAAGGACANCCAAAGAAAGGAAAATTATATTCAAACACAAATCTAAACAGGAGGGATTCAACAGGGACAAAGCTTGATTAATATTTCATTTCGCTTCAAACCGAGAGTGTACAAATGTGTACCTGGAAATGACAGTACAAGAAGAAGAAGATCAGCAAAGTAGTATGTAACACAGCAACATACAGCAGCAGAAAGCCCAGCACAGTAGCTTCAACACCTCAGTCCAGAAATCCCAGCAACACGGAGAAAACTAGTAAAAATGGAGAAGACAAATAGTGCGGAAATCTCTCTTTATTTTAGTTCGGGATCAGGTCAATGTAGTTCGGGAAGCTTTGGTAGCTGGGACTACCATGGGACTGCAATGTTACTGTTGT